GTAAAAGAAAAATTCCTTCATTGGTATATAATCCCCTCTCACCCCCCACCCCCACCCCGAGTATACTCCATTGTGTAGCCTTCATTCCAGACTCTCATGGTAATCATAATACCCTATAATATATTGCTTTTAAACTGTTCTCTCCCTCATCCGTTTCAATGCAGTGTATATAATTTATCCAGTTTTTCTCATTCTTACCCCAACCCTGATGTCAGTCCCATTCTGCGGCAGAGGCACTATGCAGTGTTTGTGACAGTGAGCTTCTTAAGGGAAATATCCTCTTAATTTTGAATCATTGAAGCTTAACACAGTATCTGGCACTTAGTTTAATAAATGTTTAGTGAAAATGATTGTGTGTTCCACAATAAACCCTCTTGAAAATATCTCTTTTTGTGGATAATCACTACATTTTTGCATCCTCTTAGATAATGCATGCCTTGATTTTGCATCCTGAACTTGACTAAGATACAATTTTAAGACTGATAGATGTACCATATGCCTCTCTTGGTCTTAGACTTTTGGATTTCTTTTACGTTCTCCTGTCTTATCTTTGCAGAAATGTATGCTTTAGAATTCCCACCAACACACACAAATATTCTCTCTTTCTTTTTGAAGATTTGCCCTGAGGTATTTCAAGGACACTTACCCAGTTTTTCAGAGACTCTTCCTAGAAAGTTCAGATGCTAACCCTGTCCGCTATGGGCGCAGGCGGATGAAGCTTCGAGACCTAATGGAAGCAGCCTACAGGTTTCTGCAACAAGAGCAGTCTGTGTTCCGGGAACTCTGGGACTGGAGTGTGTGCGTCCCTCTCCTCAGAAGCCATGACACCTTGGTTCGATGGTGTGTAGCTTTGGGCATTTACTCCACTGTTTATTTGGAGGTGGTAGAGGGAATGTGGAGGGAAGGGAAACAATTTTGTTCTTGGGTCTTTTGGGTTCTAACTTCTTTTTTAAGTGAGGATGTGAGGTTGTATGAAATATGAATAAGTCATCCCAGGCTTAGTTCTGAGAATAGAATTCTGCCTTTTTCCCTTTTACTGGATTAGGTCTGATTTGCGTTTTCCTTTCTTAATTGTATGTGATAGTAATTCTTTTAAGATTTTATTGTCTCTCCTGCAGGTACACAGCCAATTGTCTAGCTTTGGTCACTTGTATGAATGAGGAGCACAAATTATCATTCCTTAAGAAGATTTTTAGTAATGAAGAATTGATCCATTTCAGGTTGAGGTGAGTAAGGTCCTGTGGGGAGAACTTGATGGAACTTTCCTGCTTATTAACTTGATTGATGATAACTTCTTTTCTCCTAGGTTACTAGAAGAGGCTCAGCTGCAGGACTTGGAGAAGGCCTTAGTTTTGGCAAATCCAGAATCCTGCCTTTGGCATAAAGAGAAGGAGCTGCAGTACCTACCTGGACACCTTGTTTCAGCGGACTTTTCCTCCAGGGTGATCACTGTCTGTGGTGTAGTGCTGCCTGGGCAGGTGGTGGCTCTGGGAGAGCAGGTGTGTTGGCATCAGTATGGTGTGAGAAATCCCCTTGTCTCCCCTCTGGAACACTCATTATGTGCTTTCCTTTGGCTGGAAGTTATGTATTAGGTGGAGACAAATCCAGGGTGCTTAATTGTTACTCTGTTTTTTTAAATGTTGAAGGAGCTATGAAGAGAGAGCCACCTCAGTTCCCTCTTCTCTAATATCCCCTTTGTCTGTCTTTAACTGAATTAGAAATAGAGTAGTGATGCTTGTGTGATACCGTTAATTTTAGCAAAGTTCTTCCATGTATCTTCTCACTAATTACTTCAACAACTCATACATAAATATGTACATGTACATACTTGGAGCTCTGGGAGCACAGTCCACAGCCAGCTACACGGCTAACTCAAAGGTTTTGAGTCTCTGATGGTATGAATTAACCATTAGCTCTTCAGAAGACAGGCAGTCTTGTCTTTTGATTTATAGCCTCAGAAACCTGATGGAGAGTCACTATGTATTGGAACCAACTTAATGGCAGTGGGAGAGGGAGCAGAGTTCTGCCATCCAAGACAAACCAGTGGTTTCAGAAGCATGCTGCTACTTATTTCACTATGAAAACTGAGTGGACATGGTTATCTGATAAAGTGACAAGGGACTAATGACTGCTAAGGAAAACCAGACTAGCACTCAAGGATTCCAAATTTATGATCAAAAAGTCTATTTAACTGTGATCTCAAATCACACCCTTGGAAAGACATTCATTTCATATGGCAGAGAGTAAGATACTGGCCTCCTACTCAACAAGTGAGAGAATAACTGGGGTGGAGCAGGGCATGGGGGGAGGGCCACAGAGTGAATACACTGAAGAAAAAAGGTTAATGAAAGTGAGTACCCCTGAGCTGGCCCTATCTCTGCTAAAGAGCAGTCCAACAGTCTTCAGGCAGATCATTCTGCCTCTGTTCCACATTAACAATGGCATCACAACATGTGCTACTCAACTTCAGGGAGTTGTTGAAGTAATTATATATACACACATATGTTGTTGTGTACCAGTGAGTCAGAACCTGCTCAGCTCATAGCTGATCCTCTCGGGAGATTTCAGAGACAATAAATTGTACAGGAGGAGATTGCCCATCTTTCTTTTCTTTTTTTTTATTCTTATTGTGTACCATCAAATCAGATCCGATGGCACATGAGGAGATTGTCCCTCCTCCTCCATCAGAGCATCTAATGGATGCAAACTGCATGTCTTTGGGATTGCAGAGCAGCTTCTTGACACTGGCTACCAGAGCTCCTGCTCATCTTCTTATGGTAGATTCAAATTGTATGCCTAAGGGTTGACAACACACTCCTTACCCTAAAGCCACCAGAACTCCCTTTATATATTTTTACATACACACACATACACGTATATCTCATGTATGTATACATGCACATGTCAGAATTGCAGAACCTGGTCACAAGCCTCCTGTCACGCACAAACCCTATAACCACTATCCTAGATTAGGTTTGGAGCATTAGAAATGTAATATATAGAAAGAATTTGCCTGAGATGAGCCTAATGGTGGGAATTTGGTGATGCTGGGGCAGGAGTGCTTTATTTCTGCAAGTAACAACCATAAGAAAAGTAGAACTTGGGGGGTGGGGAGAAAAAAAAAAGTAGAACTTCTATTCCTGAGTCTCTCATTTTGTTTCTAGTATCCTGAGAAGTCCAGCCATGTATGAGAAGATACTATTCCTTAGAAGTTAGTTATCAGTTTATAGAAAAGATTAAAGGACTTTTAAAAATAACCCCAAGACTCTTACTATGTAAAAAAAAAAAAAGAGAATAATCTTCTAAAATATCCTTTATCCTTTCAGTGTTCCTATTTCTCTGATTGCCTCACAAGTATACCACGTACATTCTTCATCTTAGGTTTGCAATCCTATAATACAGGAAAGGGAAGGAAAACAACAACAAAAGAATCCAACTGTGACTCTTATTAAACTTTGAAAAGACTTTTTCTTAAATAAATGAATAAATTTTGCCCTTTTTCAATAAAATAGAAAGGAAAGAAGAAATGACTTTGAATAACATAACTGTTCATTAGTAAGCTTTTTGTCTTTTGGTTTTCTGGTACCAGTATTTTGCTGACAAAAATAAAACTTGTATTTTTTTAAGGAAGAGATTTTTACATGACTTTTGTTTGTCGCTTGCCTCCTCAGGCTAGTAATAGGAGTTCTTTGCGTGAACAGGAGCTGGCACTCAAGTCTTACGTGCTGGTTCAATCAGTCTGCAAAAATCTTCAGACCTTGGCTATGGCAGTGGCTTCTCAGAATGCAGTGTTGTTGGAAGGACCAATCGGATGTGGCAAAACTTCATTAGTTGAATATTTAGCTGCAGTGACAGGTAGAAGGAAGCCCCCTCACCTTCTCAAAGTCCAGCTTGGAGATCAGACTGACAGTAAGGTAATTAAGAAATGACAAATTTTGGTGGATTGACATGCTTGTAAATAATTGTTTTGTTCTTAGCTGGGGTAGCATTAAGCTTTGTAAACCTCAAGTGCTTATGGAAATAGAATAGAATTAATCCAAGGATGTAACATTGCCACCTAAGGGGTGTGCTTGCCATGATTACTTCTGTTCTTTCTATAGATGCTGTTGGGAATGTATCGCTGCACAGATGTCCCAGGCGAGTTTGTGTGGCAGCCTGGCACTCTGACACAGGCGGCCACCTATGGCCACTGGATCCTGCTGGAGGACATTGACTATGCACCCTTAGATGTGGTATGCCATCTTGCTAGTTATTGACTCTTGTCATCTCTTCTATCTTTGAGGAGAATTTTGTTCATTCTGGGGATGATTTAACCACAAGAGTTCTTTAATTAATTTTAAAACAGAAAGTTCATTTATGTTGACTTATGTATTTTGTTTTAAAATCAATTATTTGGCTGTTGTAAAAGGAACAAAGGTAAAATGGTGACATCCAAGTCCAACCTCTACTGACTCCACAAAGGGAAACTGTTCCCATCAATAATATCCTTGGTACCAAACGAATAGCTACAAGGACAGATATGGCCCCAAACTCTGCTGTACCTTCTTTAAATTACTAAGTTTGAAATTTGCTGTAAGTGACCACACACACTTTATAGAATCTTTTTTTTACTTAAAGTTTTGGGGGTTATTAGGGACATATGTTGGAGGTGTGGGACAAGGCAAAGAATATCACTCGATGAAAGTCATTTATTAGGAAATAGCAATTCCAAGCCAGGTTAACAGCAAGACACAATCCTTCCATTACTTCAGACAGCTTCTCAGTTGACAGCACAATACAGTCACTCAGTTAATGCATGCAGCTTCTCGGTCAACACCAAGATGCCTCTGGTATTTGGCTCTGAGGGATGTACACTGCTCTCTCTGCTGCTGCTTGTTACATGGTGTTGAGACTCTTGTATCAGAGGCTCTGGCCTTGGCTCAGTTTGGCTCTCTAAGCCTATGCCTTGCTACAGTCTGGTTAGCTCTGTCTTTTAATACTGGTTTCACTGCTGTTGAGGTTGAGAATGTAAGCCATATGTGTACAGTTAGATAGTTGGAGACCGTGTACCCTGGAGAGATAAGAGTAGCTGATGGAGCCTCAAAGATTCATTTTACTTACATGTTCTCACCTGGCCATGGGGCCAGGTCTAAGGATAATGAATATAAAAGTCATTCTTAAAAGTGATACCACAGTGGCCCCAATCACTGAGCCGCCACCAAGGACTCAGCTGCCTCCTCCTCGAACCCCCTTGCTTCCTGACCGACGTTCCATCCCTCCTGCCCATCTTCTCCCGCCGCCGCCTTCCACAGGCCGTTTCCCCCAAGGAAAAGGAATCATATCGTATGTCCGCTATCCAGAACCTCCACTCTTTTCACCCCTTTGCTGATGCAAGTGAAGGTGATGGCCTGCTTCCTGCTGGGACTGAGGATTATTTCCATATAAGAATTCAACAGAGAAACGGCAGGAAGACCCTTACAACTGTCCAAGGGATTGCTGATGATTACGATAAAAAGAAACTAGTGAAGATGCTTAAGAAGTTTGCCGGGAAGCTCTGGTGGCCTAGTAGCAAGAATCTGCACTGCAATCCCAAAGGTGCACGGTTTGAATCCACCAGATGCTCTGCTGGAGAAGGAGGGGCAAACTCTTCCTGTGCCAGTCAGATCCAATTCGAAGGTACACCAAATTAAAAATAATAAAAATAATTTTTTTGTAAAAAAAGAAGTTTACCTGCAATGGTAATTGAGCATCCAGAATATGAAGTAATTCAGGTATAGAGTGACCTGCGTAAGAACATATGCCAGTTCCTTATAGAGATTGGACTGGCTAAGGGCGACCAACTGAAGGTTCGTGGGTTTTAAGTTCTTGTGGCTCACTGAAGCTTAAGTGAGGATTTCCTTGCAATGAGTAGAAAATTTCCCTTCTGTCCCTTGTCACAAGTTTAAACTTCGCAGCTTGTATAATGTAACCATTTGGGGTCCACTTTTAACTTGGACTCGTATAACTCTTTCATGCAATAAACTGAAAAGAGCCATGCTGTCTAGTCTGAAAGTCCCTCATTTAAACAGAGGTCAAGCAGTAGGCACCTGACAGTGCTCCGCCTGAAACAAAGCAATAACATGATATTTTAGCCGAACTCAGAGCCCAAAGATCATAGATGGCTATGTCTGGCCCAAAATGCCCCTACTCCAAAAGAATGTCAACCTGCCACCTGAGCACCCCTAGATGGAGCTGAGGAGAGGATGGGGTAAAGCTGCTGTACCACTAGAAGGAGCTGTGGTAGCAAAAGAAAGATCATTGGTATCTTCAGCTCGGCGAAGCAGGCAGAGCTTAGGAGTGAGAAGGGACATCTAGCTTGCCACCAAGGTCTTTGTTCTTTCTGACCAGACATAATCTTGAAGCCTTGTCTGTCCCAGAAAAGACCAGGATGTGAGGCCAACTTTAGTGTTACTTTTGACAAGGGAACAGGCTGACGTATCAGTCCTAGCTAGCTGTAGAGCTTGCAGCTTAATAGCAACAGCAGCCCAATGCCCTGTGAAGGGACAATTGGTTCTTCCCCCCCCCCTCCAGTTTTAATGTTATGTGAGGTATTTAAATTCTTTTTTTTTTTTTTTTATTACTTGCTGTGTGCTGTGGAATCAGATCTGACTGGCACAGGAGGAGATTGCCCCTCCTTCTCCAGCGGAGCATCTGGTGGATTCAAACTGCGGGCCTTTGGGACTGCAGTGCAACTTCTATTTTTTTTTTTGCAGTGCAACTTCTTGCCACTGGTATTTAAATTCTTATTTAAATAAAACTTGTTAAAAAAATAGTAATACCACAGCACTGTGTTTGGTGGAAAATATGAAAAACTCTGCTTCTGCTGTTTTCTGTGTTGTATTCTTTTACACTCTTGAACTTAAATAATGTGAACAGTTTCACAGTCTATCCAAGAATAGAGCTGGTGGGAAACAACTTTGTTACAGATGAATTGAGAAGTTTGAGATCTTGTTTCCCAGCTGTACACTTGGGAAAAGTGAAGGGAAGAAATGATAAAAGTGTATTTTGTCTTATATTTGATATGATAACCGTATATTATAGATACATATTTTGATGTCTATTCTTTGTGTATAAAATTCAGCCATGAAGACAATTCATGTTAATGTTTGTATTCTGTAAATATTGACAAAAATGCATTGCAGAATGAGAAATTCTTTCTTAGGGCAGACTTTGCTGAGATTTTTAAAATTTCTTTTTTAGGGTAAACCCTCCAGCTTAATTGCATATGGTGCTTCCTTTTTTTGATTATTTTTTTTTTAAATTTTTTTTATTTTATTATTTTTGTGTACGTGTACCGTCAAATCAGATCTGACTGGTACAGGAGGAGATTGTCCCTCCTTCCCCAGCAGAGCATCTGGTGGATTCAAACCGTGAGCCTCTGGGATTGTAGTTGCAGCTCCTTGCCACTTGGCCACCAGAGCTCCCCTCCTTTTTTTGATATTAGAAGAATGAATATGTGTATATCTGTAGGTTGAAGGAGATATGGGAGGAAGGAGGTGGCTTGAAATAGCTTTATATAGTATCTCACGTGTTCAGAGTCTGATGAGGTCAAGATATTCTGAGAGTAATGATCTAATCTACCAGACCAAGCCTCATAGTCTGATAACTGAATTCTGTGGTCTTAATGCTTAGAAAACATGTATGGTTTTTTGTTTTGTTTTTTGAGGAAGAAAGTGTCTTTATTTTGAAACAGTAGGTTGCCTCCTAAGTGGCCTGAGGGTGCTTCTACATGCATGGGGTGGGGTAGGGTAGGCAGTGGTGGTGGAAGGGGCCACTGTCCCCTAGGGGATCTGCCCTAGGGATCTGCCAGTTCAGGCTCTTAGGATGTGTTTCAGGAAGGCTTGACAGTTGATGCAGCCATTGCTGTCCTCATGTCCTGCCAGGACAGTCTCCACCTCTTCCTCAGTCATCTTCTCTCCCAGCATGTTGAGGACATGTCCGAGTTCTGCTCCTATGACTTTGCCGTTTCCTTCCTTGTTAAACACCCGAAGCCCTTCCAAGTATTCCTCATATGTGCCTTGGTCCCAGTTCTCGGCCACAGCTTGAAGCACAGGCAGTAAACTCTCAAAAAGTCCACACGTCAGGACTTCGGCGTTGGTGGGGTTCTGGCCCAGGGCCCTCATCACATTCCCACACTGACTATACAGGGTCCTGCCATCATGTGCTCGAACAGCTCACAGGCTTCCTGGAATTCCTCCAGTTGAACCTTGTTAAACTCAATCACCAGTTTGGAGAAATCGATACGGGGTTCCTGGGGTTTTTCAGGAGCTCAGAGGCAGCTGGCTCAACTTTGGCCTTGGTTGGAAGGGTCTGTGATGCTGGCTTCGCAACAGGCATTGAGGTAGCGGGGCCTACTGGTTTCTTCACAGAAACACCTTTCTTGGGAGGCATGATGTCCGGTAGCCAAAGGACAGTGTGTTGATGGGGGCACCCATCTCCTGCGGAATCCAGGGAAAGGGAGGGGGCAGACAACATGTATGTTTTTTAAAGCAGTTTTCTTAATAAGTTCAAGGCTGAAATGGACCAATTAGATTTTTACATGAAGAATTTATACTCTTCTCTCCAAATAGTGAACATATTAGAAGAAATCTAAATTTTCAAAGTGTGAGCTAGTTCCATGCAGGTGGGAGTATCAGAGGCAACACAATAAAACCATTACTGTGTATTGTACTCACTTAACAACCTAGACACTTGGTAGGACATAGCAGGGTCAGGAAAGCAAGAGCTGAGTAAGATGTTTTTATTGATCTTGTTAATTTTGTTGAGAATGTACCCAGAAAAACATGGATTGTTTGAACAGTTTCTGCATGTATGATTTAGTGACATAAAGAGAATTATTTTGATTTTTATTTTATTTCAAAGACTTTATCAGTGGGTTTTGTGATTTAGGTTTCTGTATTGATCCCTCTCTTGGAGAATGGAGAGCTCTTAATTCCTGGCCGAGGTGACTGTCTGAAAGTAGCACCTGGATTTCAGTTCTTTGCAACTAGAAGGTAAGTTCTACATACTCCTCCATTCTTACTCTAGAGCCGCTTCTTTATAAGTCTGTAGCCTGGAGTGCTGAATCCAGAGTCCTAGAATAGAATTCTCTGAGTTCTCAAGATTAGCTAGAACTGATGGTAGAGCCAATAATCTCATTCTTTAATGGTTTTTTAGATTTTTAAAGAAAAATTATTTTATTCGTTATTGCATTATTCTTTATTATTTTTAATGAAGATGATCATTTCAGAAAACTTTTGATTTTTTTGTTGGTTAGTTTTCCCTTCGCTAAAAATAAGTAACCGATAAAAAATTTCTAATCTTGTTTTTAAAAGAAATATTAGGTAGTATAGTCAGGTAGCCTTTAGTTGTGTTCTGCCTGTGAACGTTAATTCCTCTGTGTGTGTACCTTGACGATTATGATTAGTTGTGATACCTAAGGAGCCCTTGTAGCAGTAGCTAATTATATACATGGCTACTAACAGTAGGTTGATGGGTCAAAGCCATCACCTGCTACATGGGAGAATGGACCTGGTGGTGTGTTCCTGTGAAAATTTCACCCTAGGAAATCCTATGGAGAATAATCCTGTTTTGTCACATAGAATCACTGTGGTTAGAATTGATAAGGTTTTGTTTTTTTTTTATTTTGCAATATAGACTCTTGAGCTATGGAGGAAGTTGGTACCGACCATTAAACAGTCATGCTACTTTGCTAGACAAATATTGGACCAAAATTCACTTGAATAACATGGATAAGACAGAATTGAATGAGGTATGTAGTTACTAGAAAGAAATTTATTAATGCCTTTTTTACTCTTTACTATGAAAAGTTTTGATGAGACTAATATCATGAACATCTAAAATATTCATCAGCCTACAGTTAAACAGTTAATTGTCTAACATATTATACAGTCTTTGTTTCCACCATTATTTTTTTTCTTTGCTATTGTAAAGCAAGCTCCATAACATTTCACACCTAAATACTTCAGTTTGCATCTTTAAAAATTTATGGGCATTTTAATATACAACTGTAATAACAATAATTTCTAATAAAGTGAACAGTCATTCCTTAATATCACTTAATAACCAAACTATATTTAAATTTCTGTTTTGTTTCCAAGTTATATTTTTACTTTATTTGCTACTATATTTTATACTCAACAGCCTAATGAATATTTTTGTGAAATTGAAATTATTGTATAGTTCTAATGTACTCATTTATTTAGTGTGTATTGTTGGCATAGGAGATCTTTAACAAATGTGTCTTGTATTGTACCATTCCCCCATCCCTCATCTACTACCTCATTTGGGAAGGTTCCTGTTCTCAAATTTCTTTATCTTGGACAACAGTGAACAGAGTAGTTGTATAGACTTGAACTGTTGGTGTAAGTTTACAAATAATTCTTAGCATGGTTTTCTTTTTTTTCCCTTTACATATTTTTAAAAAATTATTAAATTTTATTAATTTTAATGAACATTTACAGAGATTTTGGGTTTTCATTCATTCATTGTTGCACTATTTTCTCTACCCACCTCCCCAGTTCATTCTTTTTTTTCCCCGCCTTGAAAGTCTGTTTTAATTGTCCAATTGCCACAGTGCTTGTCAAAGCTGGTTCTGATTAATCTCCTTTGTCAGTGTGTCCTTTGCCATTCCCTATCACTCCTCCCTGAGAGAGACCCTGATTGATAAGGAAAAGGGGATGGTGTATTGTCTTAGCTAGGACGCTATAGGTTTCAGGGTGAAGATCTTCTCTCACTAATCTAAAGGGCCCCTTTGGCAATAGGAAACACATAGACTATTATTGGAGATTGATTTTGGAATTTAGATGCACTATTATCAATTGTGCTTAGCCGTTACATGTTCATATCCTTGAAGATGTAGCATGGTTTTCTTAGGGAATGCTCTTAAAATATAGAGAATAATAGGTACTTATGATGATTTTTATATATTTTGGTTTCTTTACATGTTATGAGAGGAATTAGACTACATGATCTCTTAACTGTCAGAAGCCTAGAGTGTGGTGGTGGAGGGGTTAACTGCAAAAGGTCCGTAAGAGAATATTTTGTTTTGTGGTGATGATAATATTTTATATCTATTTGTGTTGAATATTTCACTATGCATATGTGAAAAAAGCGTGTAGAACTTTATGCTTAAAAAGGAATCTGTTATGTAATTAAAATAGCTCAAAAACAACAGCCCAGAATAAGAGGTACACTGCAGAGAGGACTAGCATGAAGAGGGGAGGAGGGAGGTAATTGTGCAACAATGAATGACTATTGAATAATAAAAAGTGAACTTAAGGACGGGCCAGGGTAGATGGAGGAAAATGTACAACAATGAATGAATGAAAATCCAACTTTTCTGTAAAATTTCATTAAAATAATAAAGTAAAAATAAAAGTTGTACAATGAGTTAAAAAAAAAATAAGCAGCTCAATAAACTTCACTTTTGCAATACTAATAAACCAAATTACATATTCAGGATTTTCATAAGCAGTAGTTGTTTAAACCCATCCAGAAGTGTCTCAGGAAACAATCCCAGCCATCTGCTTTTGAAAAGGTTGCAACATTGATAGCCCTGTGGATAAGTTCTGTGCACACATGAGGTCATCATAAATCAGAATTAATTTGATGACAGCTACTATCAACAAAGTCTCAGCAGCAGTTCAAGAATGCTTTTAAAATTTGCTAGGACCATTGTTGAATTTTCTTTGTTTCTCCCATCTGTCAGGTTCTTCAGAGCAGATATCCCAGCCTTTTGACAGCAACTGATCATCTACTTGATATTTATATCCAACTTACTGGTGAAAAACATCACTCTCAGAGTGATAGTTCTGTTGAATGTGAACAGACATTTGAGGAAGTCTCAGAAACCAGGAGAGAAAACACACCAAGTCTAGAGGGAAGAGAATTGTCCCTAAGGTACTGGATTAAACACCTTCATGTTGCTATTTTAAAAGCAGATTTTCCTCAGAAGTACTTAACAAGTGAAACAAAATGGTTATGAGAGGTCAGATGTTGAAATTGGACTTTGGGCTTTTTTATGATAATCAGAGGAAAATATTTTTAACATCTATATCGTTAAAAATAGAAGTTTTACTATAACATCTTTGCTTCAAAAACTAACTTTTAAAGACATCTTGAAATAGTTATGGCATAGTTTTCTTAATGGATGTCCTTTCTGAACTTACATAATGAATCCTTTTTCGATTTATGTTGTATACACTGAGGAACTCTGGTAGCAGGTGGTCAATTGCTAACCTTTCAGCAGCTAATCAGCAGGTTAGTTATGTGGTAGTCTACTTTGATAAAGATTTATGGTTTTGGAAATCTTAGTACGGTTCTGGGGTTTGCTTCTTATTTATATTAAATACTGTTGAGTTTTAACGAACTCAGAGCTGACCCTTTAGTGAGTTTTCAGAGGCTGTAAATCACACAGATTTCCCATTTTTCTCCTGCAAGGTAGTTAGTTGAGCATGCCTTTAGATTGGTAACACAACTCCTTTACCACCAGAGCTCCCTGTGTTGTAGATAAACCTATATATTCGGGTGGCGAGCTATTATTTCTCATATATATTCATATATACACACACAAACGCACACATACACACCCTACTACTTTCTTATTGATTATCTTGTTTTCTAACATTTTACATATATAACAGTAGTAAAAAAAAAATTAACCTGGCTGTTTTGCTTCTGGTAGTAATAATCACCAAGATGAGAGAGGCAAGCGTAACCGTGGCTGTGATGGTTAAAGGTTATTTGTCACTTGGCTGGATCATGATTAACAAGGGTTTAACAGTTGGTTATATAATGATGTAGTTATTTTCTGTTTTGTTATGTGATAGTTATGTGATATGCCTAGTCTCCATTTTAGAATAACAGTAATTTTCCCATAATAACTTAATCCCTCTTAATGACAAGTGGTTATAATGAGTGGATATAGCTCACTTTCGCCAATTCATTCTTAATAGTTAATTTACTGTTTAAGAACCGTGATGAATGGGGAACTGTCCTCAGTTGGCTCTGAGACTTAGTTGTGCATTTCTCCTGCCTCCGCTGTCTGTGAAACAAATGATAGATCGTTTCCCATAGGATCAGGGCCTAGGAAAACTCAGTGTTTCTCTTAATATTTATAAGTGGATGGCATTAATTGACTGGTGTCCCTCAGTTTCGAGTTTTAAATGAAATGAATATGGTAATGTATTTAACCTATGATTTTGTGTCTTTTGTTTTGTTTTAAAGAGATCTCCTGAATTGGTGTAATAGAATTGATCATAGCTTTGACAGTTCTTCATCAGCATCATTAAATATTTTTCAAGAGGTGAGGTATTATTTTTCATCCATCATTATTCTCTCACGGTATTTTCCTTTCTGTTACTTGTTTCTCTTTCTCTCCACCTGTGTGTATGTGCGCATGCACAAACACTACTTAATGCTGATATTTTCCTAAGGAAAACTAATGTTTCTTAAAACTAAGTGGACATAGGAGAAATGTATTGTGTGTTTTGAAATAATGGTAGTTCCAAAATGTAGATTGAGTAGAGTAATATAAAAAATATTTAAATTAAATAGAAAATGAAAAGACCTTGAGATGATAATAAAGAAATATTGTAAAGTATTCCTAGGTTGTTTAGTGTTTACTCCTATCAGTGATTTCTTTGAAAAATGTGTTCATATGATCCCTTAGCATATTTCTTTAACTTAGAAAAATTTCTGTGAATCTGCAAAGTGAAACCTTTTATATTGATTTGGGGGAAAATGTATGGGACGAAAGCCTGTATTAAATTATAAATCTACCGTATTTGATCAGAACAGAGAGATTTATTACTGTCTACTATAAGAATAAAAATGGTAGACTACATGGAGGTCGTTAAGCTCTTGAAACATTTGTGTTTTTTGATCTACAACACTGTGGTTCCTGTCAGTGGGGACTGAGAAGAATGAACCATTTTGGTTTGCAGCATCTCTTTTATATTTATAAAATCACTCTGTAGAAAGACAAGTCAGTTGAAGAGTTCACATATGCTCAAATGAACTCTAAAATGCTGTGCATGAGACTGATTGAATTTGACTTTTCTGTTCCTCATCTCTTTCCTCATTTCTTGCACATAAACTTGTATTTTCCCAAGAAAATCAAGCTATTAATAGATTTTCTTTTAACTTCCTTACTGTTTCAGAAAGTCATTGTTTATGTGTATGTATATATATATTTATGGCTGATTTATTGAAATATAATTAACAAACTATAAAATTCACCTTTTTTTCCTACAGAATTTTATTTTTCTTGATGATATAATCATAAAAAATTTGATAGTTTGTACAGGTGTAAAATACACCTCTACAAGTCACAGAAAGCAGTACTTTTTTGCTTAATTTATATTTGTAGAACTATCACCACTATTTAATTCCAGAAAAATCTTATCTCAGAAAGAGATTTCTTTTTTTAAAATTTTATTTTATTATTATTTTTTTATGTGAGTGTACCGTCAAATCAGATCTGACTGGTACAGGAGGAGATAGTCCCTCCTTCCCCCGCAGAGCATCTGGTGGATTCGAACCGTGCACCTCTGGGATTGTAGTTGCAGCTCCTTACCACTAGGCCACCAGAGCTCCCCTAGAAAGAGATTTCATATTCTTTTTTTTTTTTTTAAATTTCATATTCTTATATTCTCTGGTTCATAGGAATCATCTTCCTGCTTTCTTTCTGTGATTTTGCCTATTTCATATGAATGTAATCAAATTGTGACCGTTTATATTGAATGTCTCTCATTTAGTGTAATATTTTCAAAGTTCAGCAGGTTGTAGAATTTGGTGCATTCCTTTTTATGGCTGAATATTTTATGGATATACATACATATATATATATATACACACACACACACACACACACACACACACATACATATACACACACAAGTCTGGATTTTTTTTTCTTATTTGCCTATACATCAGTCAATTAATAGACACTTGGTTAGTTTTTACATTTCAGTTATTGTTAATATATTTATTATTTTTCTGCTCTTCTCAAAGTGAAGTGTTCATATTCTGTTTTGTTCAGAGAAGAAGGTAAAATTAAAACTTAAGAAAATCATGTTAGAAGTTTTAAAAATTTATTTATACTGATTGTTCTTTGCCTAATTCTGTAGGATTTATAAGGAACCTGCTTGTCATAGTAGGCTAAGTTCTGGACTGCTAGCCAGAATGTCAGCACTTCAAATCTACTAGTTACTCCCTGTGAGAAAGGTGCATTCTGCTCCTGTAAAGATTTATAGGCTTAGAATCTCTGTGAGACAACTCTGCTCTGCCCTATTGGGTTACTATGCATCAGAGCAAACTTGGTGGCAGTGAGATAAGACTTACAGAGTGAATTTCTATTTTTAAAATTTAACTAGTATTTCAATAGTAAACCTTTTACTTGTTGTGTCTTATCTCTCTACTCTGGTAAGGTCTTTAATCCAGCATTTATACTGTTTGTCTTGGAGAAATGTTCCTATGAGGTCTGTATCCTTTCCTGTTGCAGCCAAGATTGTGATGCTCTATGATTGATAACACTATTTTTAAAAATTAATTGATACTTACCTTGATTACCTTAACAGGCCCTGGACTGTTTTACAGCAATGCTTTCTAAACATACAAGCAAAGTGAAAATGGCAGAAGTCATTGGAAGCAAATTGAACATTTCTAAGAAAAAGGTATGTGGTGCTTTGTTTTACTTCCTTGTGTAACGTAGCCCAGGAGAGACACTTTCTCACTCTTACCTAGAATGGTTTTGCAGTATTTGTTTTTCCGTTAAAGCTGTAGGTGTCATTGTTCTCTCCTATGGTCCTATAGCTCACATAATCCCCTGTTGATAGTTTATTAAGTATTCAACATTTCTAAATTGTTTTCCTTGTGGCCTATAACAGCATTCACATTACTATGCAGTGTTTTAGTGTGCATTTTATTCTATTTTAGGCTCAGAACTGAGTTTTTGCTTAGTAACACCTTCGTATTTTTTCATCTTTGTGTTATAAATATGTTTAAATATTACAAAAGTGGCAAAGAATAGTACAGTGAACACCTTAACAAACATTATGTAGGATGCAGTCAGGAAATCAAAAGAAGAAGTATACTGGCAAAATCTGTAAAGACCTCTCCAGAGTACTAAAGAGCAACATTATTATACGAGAGACTAAGGTGCATCAGAGAGCTGGACAGTGATGAAGGATGACAAGAAGAATTAATGCCTTTGAATTGTGGTGCTGGAAAAGAGTCTGCAACATAACATGAACCACCAAGACAACAAATAAGTCTGTCTTTGAGAGGGTGAAACCAAGGTTTTTCTTGGAGACTAGGATTTTGAAGCTCTGTCTCGCATACTTTGGGCACATGACCAGGAAAAACATCATGCTTAGCAATGTGAAGGACAGCACAGGAGAGAAAGACTCTGGATGAGATGGATTGATACAGTAACTGGGGCAATAAGGGTAGGTGTGGTAGAGTTAGACTGTCTCACAACAGGTCAGGCGTCAGAGCTGTTATACTTGGGGTCATGTAGGCAACTCGACAGCACGTAACAACAACAGTTATTATCATTGTTACTCCTTTGTTATTCTCATGTCAAAATACATTTTTCTAAAAGAGTGAGAATGTTTAAAACAGTTGTGTTGATATTCTTGGGTCCATCTTAAAGCATATCTCTGATGTTCCTACCTGAATGATGGCAACTCTCTTATAAAGGCTTATCTATGTTGTTATGTTGTTAGGTGCTGTCAAATCATAGATGACTCATAGCCACCCTATGAGCAAAAAAAACTTTCATAGTTTCTCCATGTTCATAGAGTTTCCAGAGGCAAGCTATTTTGGAAGTGGAAAAGGATTATGTGTAAGACTATACTAATAGAAATACTCTTTAAACTTCTGAAACCACTGAGATAATTTTAGCTACTGGTAACAGAACCCTCTACTAAAAAGGCTAAAGCTATAAAGAAAGATAATCTATATTAGTAGACAAAGGAATGAAAATCACGATGATTGACATAGACAGCATTCATCCACTTTGGATAGAGAAGGCTTCATCTTCCTGAACACTTTTGCCCTTTCTACCATGCCCTAAACACTAGCAGAATTTTCATTCTTTGGTTTAGTGATAAATAAGAAATGTGTTACTGTTGGATAGACATCCATAGTGTCTGTCTCAGCATTCTTTCTGCTATAGTTATAATCAAATTTTACCATGGTTCTACACACTGTAAGGAATAATGCTTAATGAAGAGCTGAAGCAAAAATTGTTTTAATTCTTTTCATACCTTTTTACTATGACTTTTAGCTCCTTTATTGAGCTATGTCAGAGTCTTCACTTAAGATACAGGCAGGGATGTATTTGAGAGGGAAATGTACCTCTTTTTTTTCTTTTGGTATGTTAAATGAGAAATACAGAAAAGAATAAAAGACTCACTTGCTGATCTTGGAATTGAAGAATGCTTCTTTGTGCAGGCATAAGTGGAAGATCACAATAAGCCTTTATAAATAAGGAATTGAATAGTTGAAATCTCTCTGTCTCTACAGGCTGAGTATTACTGTCAACTTTATAAACCAGAAATTGTGATCAATGAGCTAGATGTACAAGTGGGCCGAGTGCATCTTCTACGAAAACAGAATGAGGCTGTCCACATACAGAGGTAATGGGATTTTTTTCTCTTAATTTTATTTTAAACTAATTGGAGAATAGTGAAGTTGTCGGGACTTGGTAGATGATAGTCCAGCCCCTTACCTTTGAGCAGCATATTTGTCTTATTGGTAAACTCTCCATTGTGCTACATGATGAGGAGTTGTGTTTTCCAAATTGTGTACTCTGACAAGGGTGATGATTTTTTATGATTTGCAGCTAGCAAAGAGGAATTTTTTTTTTTACATGTGTTTATTTAATGAAGTAAATTTTGTCGAAAGTCAGGCTCTACCCTAGTATTAGTCTGTAAGTTCCTTAAATGAGAAGAGATTCTGAGGTTTGGATAACATTTATTAAATACTATATGGCTAGCTGTTGTCCTAAGGGCTTTGTGTCTGTCTTTTTTCATACAAATAAGGTACTCTTAATTGTCCACATTACATACAAAAGGAAACTGGGGCTTGGAAAGATTAAGACATTTCCCCTGAATGATACATACAGTACAGATAATATACTGTTTGTGTTTTAAAATCTCTGCTGTGTGGTACAGTATCAGGCACATAAAATACTGTTGTAGAGTGAATGAAATCTATAGTTCATATAAGGACAATTTGTTAAGACAAAAAGATAGTCACTGAGCTCCCTTTGCATTGTTTCTTGAGTTTGGAAAATCATTATGATGAAGGTTAGTGTTTCACTGCTTCTTCTCCACAGAGAGAAATTAACTTTCGCAGCTACAAGGCCATCCTCAGTTCTTATTGAACAGCTTGCTGTGTGTGTCAGCAAAGGGGAACCTGTGTTGTTAGTGGGAGAGACAGGAACTGGCAAAACTTCTACTGTCCAGTACTTGGCTCATATTACGGGTAAGTCATATAAAACAAGTAAGTCTCACATACTTTGGGCATGTTGCTAGGAGAGGTTATTCCTTGGAGAAGAACATGATGCTGGGGAGGGTGGAGAGTCAGTGAAGGAGAGGAAGACCCTCAACTATTTGGATTTACATGGTGACTGCTGCAATGGGCTCTTGTATGTCAGGAAGTGTGAGGGTGGCACAGGGTAGAATAGGGATTTGTTCATAGGATTGCTATGAGTCAAACTCGACTCAGTGGAACCTAACATCAACAACAACAACATGTAAAACAATGCCTATTCCTCTTGACAGTAAACTTTTTATACTCACCCCGCTCCATAAAAAAAGTTGAAAGAGTACAGATATTTTAAAAGTGCCACTACTCTATGTTAATTCCTTTTTCCCTAGAAATAAACCACAATAGATTGATACTACCTTGTACTGTTCTAATCTTTGTACTTCCGATACAACTGTGTATAAATTTTGCTTTGTTTTTAAAGAAAAATGTGGTCATGTTCTACACTGATCTAAGCAAATCATGCATATTGCACTTAGTTAACCAACTTTCAAAACAGAACTACTTCGTTACTTTTAATGACTGAGTCATACTACTCATTATTTGTAGTTGTTGTTAAGTGCTCTTGAGTTCAATATAACACAGAGTGATGCTATGAACAACAGTCTGGACCCTGTCCTATCCTGTGCCATGCTCATCATTTCTGTTACACTTAAGCCTGCAGTTTTTGTGTTAGTCCATCTTACTGAGGGTCTTCCTCTCTTTTGACCAACCTTTCCAAGCATGATGTCCAGGTTCTTCAGTAAGTCATTGTCTATAAATTATGGCTAAATGACTATCTGATTTATAAATGATATTACTTACAGGTGTTTTTTTTAAGCTACATATTTATTTAGAGCATTCATGACACTCATAACTCGAGGATCTTTCTCTCTTGTACTGTCCCTCCACCCTACCAAATATGATGTCCCTCTCTAAGGACCAGTCCCTTGTAACATGTCCAGTGTATGTCAGACGAAGCTTCAGAATCCTTGCCTCCAAGGAGCAGCACAGTTTCGTCCTCTCTAGAATGAATCTGTTTGTTCTCCTAGGGATAGTCAACACTTTTCTCCAGCACCACAGTTCTCTTTCTGTCATCCCAAATCATTGTCCAGCTTTCTGATGCATAGCAAATAATTGTGAAAACTATGGCCTGGATCAGGTACACCTTAGTCTCCAGACTGACGTCCATGCTCCTCAGTACTTTGGAGAGGTCCCTGAGAGCTGACTTTCCCAGTGTAATTTGTCTGTTGATTTCCTGGCTGCTGGTACCAAGAGTGTTGATAATGGAGCCAAGTAAACTAAAACTGTTAACTATCTCAGCCTCTTTACCATCCATAATGATTCTGCCAATTGGCTCAGTGGTGAGACTGTTTTGTTTTCTTGATGTTGAACGTCAATCCATATTGAAGGCTGCAGTCCTTGCCCTTCTGCAGAAAGCACTTCAGGTCCTCCTCAGTTTCAGCAGGCAAGGTTGTGTTATCTGCATAACACAGATTGTTGATGATTTGTCCACCAGTCCTGATGCCACATTCCTCCTCATACAGCCAAATATTCCCCCCCCCCCCATTTGTGGGTTTCCTTCTGATCCAGTTGGAGACGTTTTTGATGTATGTAGGGATTTGATTCTTTTTTTCTTTTTTTATTGATATTTTAATGACAGTTTACAAAAAACTTGGATTTGTGTTCATTTATTGTTACACAGTTTCCTCCCTCCCTTCACCCCTCAGTCCACTTTGCTATGCATTTCTTACTCTGGACTATTGTCATGCAAATAATACCTAATCATATATTTCTTACTGTAGCTCACTCTGAGAAGAATTGGAATTCCAGAATACTTGATAGTGCTTATGTGAAAACTATACTAGAGCTCAGGTTTGGAAGCAGGAAGCTCTGTGAACTTGGAGAAATGATGATAGTTATGGAAAGGCATTAAGTCTTTTGTTCATAGAGTTGGTTATGAGTCGTACTCAACTCCACAGCAATCAAAAACGGGAACAGCATGTTTGGACCAGGAGGCAGTCATCAGAACAGAATAGGAAACACTGCATGGTTCACAATTGGGAGGAGTGTATGTCAGGGATGTGTCCTATCTCCATACCTTTGCAACCTATATGCAGAACAGTATCTGGGAGGCTGGGCTCTATGAGACAAATATGGTCTCAGGATTGAAGGAAGATTCATTAACAATTTACATTATTCAGATGACATAGCCCTGCTTGCTGAAACTGAGGATGACCTGAAGTGCTTGCTGCAGAAGGTCAAGACTGCAGATTTCAATAATGATTGAAACTCCACAGCAAGAAAAGAAAGATTCTCACCACTAGGTCTATTGGCAGCATGGTAGATGGTGAAGAGATTGAGATTGTTAACAGCTTCAGTTTGCTTGGTTCCATAGTCAGCGCTTTTGGTACCAGACACCAAGATATTAAAAGACGAATTGCCTTGGGAACGTCTGCTGTCAGAGACTTCTCCAAAGTACTGAAGGGCAATGATGTCAGTCTGGAGACTAAGGTGCATCTGATCCAGGACATAGCCTTTGCAATTACGTGCTATGCATCAGAAAACTGGACAGTGACTAGGGATGATAGGAGGAGGATTTATGCCTTTGAGCTATGGTGCTATAGAAGAGTATTGAATATACTAGGGGAACAAACAGGTTTGTCCTAGAGAGGATGAGACCAGGCTGCTTCTTGGAGGCAAGGATTCTGAAGCTTCGTCTGACATACTTTGGACATATTGCAAGGAGGGACCAGTCCTTGAAGAGGGACATCATGCTTGGAGTGGTAGAGGGGCGGCACAAAAGAGAAAGACCCTCAATGAGATGGATTGATTCAGTGACTAGAGAAATGGAGTGAGCGTGCCGTACACAATAAGATTGGCACAGGACAAAGTAGGGTTTAGGGCTGTTGTACATAGGGTTGCTATGAGTGGCAGGCCACTCGATGGCACATAACAAGAACGACATATATACTTTAGACAGTTCTTTTCCTTATTTGTTTTAATGCAGTGTTCTTTCTTTATCACCTCTTTTCTTAGTTTCCCTCCAATCCCCATATCAGTTGTTTTATACCAGTGGCCTTAGACAGTTATTTGTCTTTTTGTGAATGAGGTACTTGACTCGGCATAATGTCCTCCAGGGTCACCCATTTTGTATATTTTATGAGTTCCTTGTTTTTCTTTGCTGTCTAGTATTCCATTAGGTACCTGTACTGTAGCTTCTCTATCCATTCATTTGTTGTTGGGCACTTGGATTGCTTCCATCTCTTTGTTATAAACATAGGTGTTCAGGAATTTGGTTCTTAAAATTTTCCATTTGTCTATTTTATTATTTCCTCATTGTAGGTTTTCATTATGCTTGGAAGACTATTCATGTGTTGGGTTAGGGCTTCTAGAATTCTTCCTAGCTTTTCTCTGATGAATTTGGTTTTACTTGTAGATCCTTGATCCACCTTGAGTTGGTTTTTGTAAAAGGTGTGAGGTGTGAGTCTTACTTTTCTGTATATGTTTTTCTGGTCTTGCCAACACCATTTATTTACAACTTATTTCTATAATTTTTAGTTATTAAAGAATATGCTTACAATTTATTATATTAATATGTGTTTACAAATAAGTAATATTTGTAATAATGTTACAGTAACTGTCAGTTTTAAAAAAGTTTTGAATGGTTAAGACTCATATAGGTAAAATAGAAAGATCACAGAAAATGCACTTTCTAAAACTTATTAAAATTTTCCAGTATCTGTGCTCTTGTATATTCACCATATTTACCAGTACTTACATCTTTAGATGACCTTATCTTGTTGCTTTTTTAAAGGCCACCGTTTAAGAGTTGTCAATATGAATCAACAGAGTGACACTGCAGACTTGCTTGGAGGGTAAGTGTGGCTTCATTTTTTTGGTTCTTTTTTCACTTTGTATACCTTACTTGGACAAGTATTTTCTTAAAAAGCTCAAAGCAAAATTAGGGGCACGGAAAGGTAGGAAATAAGTTTAAAGCCTTGCATCTGATCCCCACTGCTAAGGGTATTTATTGGAATTTATTGAGCTGCTTCTGGATATATAGGGGCTCCTGTTCACTTTAAGGAACACTTGAAGCATAGTATCAAAGATCATACACTGGGATAGGAAAAATAAACGTAGATAAGACCATAATCAACTAGTATTTGTGAAAATAGTTCAGTTGATAGAAGTTCCTGAATTATACTATCTTCAGTGTAGATTCTTCTACACTTTAGTAATCTCTGAAATATTAAACATTCTCTGAGCATTCAGATTAAGACAGACTAGGAAGAAGGATTGGCCATCCACTTCTGAAATAGCAGGCCTCTGAAAACTCTGTGTGCAATAGAACACTCATAGACTTAAAGATAGGGCAACTCTGAGACAGAGCTTTCAAGTATGGAAATACAAAGGAAGAGGAACAGTTGTAAGCAGACATTAGTTATTGGAACATGGAATATGAGAACCATGAATGTAGGAAAATTAGATATTGTTAAGGAAAAAATGGAATACATAAATATTGACATACTAAGTATTGCTGAGATGAGATGGACTGGCATGGGATATTTTGAGTCTGATGATCAATATTACCCCAGAGATGAAAAGGTAAAGAAAAATGGGATTGCTTTCATAGTAAAAAAAGTCATTTCTAGATATGTCTTCATATACAATATTGTGAGCGACATGATAATATCCATATGCATACAAGGAAGTCCAGTGAATACCACTATCATTCAGATATATGCACCAACAACCAGAGCCAAAGAAGAGGAAATAGAAGATTTCTACCAAGTTTTGTCAGAGATTGATCGAACATGCAGTCAAGATGCATTAATAATAATGAGTGACTGGAATGCAAAAGTTGGGAACAGAGAAGGATCAGTAATTGGAAAACATGGACTCAGTGACAGAAATGAAGCTGGAAATAGAATGAATGTTGCACAGTCAACAACTTACTCATTACAATTATGTTTTATAAGAAACATGAATACAGGGTATACACATGGATTTCACCTTATGGTATACATCAGAATCAGATTGATTACATCTGTGGAAAGAACTGGAGAAACTCAATATCAGCTGTGAAAACTAGGCCAGGTGCTGATTGTGAAACAGACCACCAACTACTCATATACAGGTTCAAGCTGAAGCTAAAGAAAATTAAATTGAATCCATGGGAACCAAAATATGACCTTGAGTCTATCCCACCTGAATTTCAGAACCATCTCAGGAACAGGTTTGAGGCCTTGAACACCAGTGAATGAAGACCAGATGATCTGTGGGAGGATATCAAGAGTATCATCCAGGAAGAGTGCAAAAGGTCATTATAGAGGAGAAAGAAATGACCAAAATGGATGTCAGAAGAAACTCAGAATATTGCACTAGATCACCAAGAAGCCAAAACACAGGGAAGAATTCAAGATATTAAAGAGCTGAACAGCACAACTCATTATCGGCTAGGCAACTCATCATTAGTGTTAAAATGGTATATATTGTTCCTTCATTTAATTTAAAACTTTGGAAGCAGAAGTGGTATCCACTTCCTAAAAACAACATGCCTCCAGAAACTCTATGAACTTTGATAAATGTCAATAGTTGTAGAGGGACTTCAGGCCTTTAGTTCGTAGGATCACTATGAGTTGTGCTCGACTCTAATGTAATCAACAGCAACAATTTTAAACTATTTTATTGTTATATTTAAAGTAGGACTTTTTATATGTAGCATATATAGCCCTTCACGTTACTTGTGAGTAGAACAAAGTCAAATGTCAGCATTTAGGAATGGGGAAAACTTAAGAGACTGCTTGGAAATAGCAGAGCACTCAGACGACTTGGGTGAAGCAGAAAAAAAAATCATTTCCAGAAAGAGAAATTACTTGATTAATTGGTCACAACACTGACTCCAGGGAAAGGGCAGTCTCTGAGGGAGGGAAGAAAAAAAAGAAAAAAGAAAAATATATGCAAGGAGGAGGTAATCTTTGGAGGAGTTGGTGATGAGGAGAAAGAAAAAAATAGAGGAATAAAAAAGTTACATTCATAGTAGGAAAAACAAAACATTTTGTTAGTACTACTCATAGATGCATTCATTAAAGATACACTATAGAAGACGGCAGAAAAGAAGAATATCTTCTCAGAACCAAGAAACCAAACCCCAGAATGAATTATTGTTATTATGTGTCATCAAGTCAATTGCAGCCCATAAGGCCTTTGCATGAACAACAGATCTGAACCTTGCCCTATTCTTTGCCGTCCTCACCTTTTCTGACATACCTGAACCCATTGTTAAAAGCACTGTGTCAACTTGTTGAGGGTCTTCCTCTTTTCATTTGACCCTCCACCATTCTAAGTATGATGTCCTTTTCGAAGCACTTGCCCCACCTAACAGCATGTCCAAAGTATGTGAGATGGAGTTTCTTCCCTCCAAGGAGCTCTCTGGTTTCATTTTCTCCAAGACACACTTGTTTGTTTTCTTGGTAGTCTATGGGTTATTCAGTACTCTTCTCCAGCATAATACCTCAGAGGCATCTATTCTTTTATCATCCTTATTCCTTGTCAGGCTCTCAGATGCAGAGTGATTGAAAATAGCATGGCTTGAATCAGGTGCACTTCAGTCTTGGAAATGACATTACTCTTGAGTCCTTTTGAGAGATCCTTGGTAGCTGACTTTACCAATGCAACACCTATTCAATTTCTTTACTGCTAAAACCAAAGGTATTTATTGTGCGTCTAAGTAAATGAAATCTGTGACAATTTCAATCTTTTACGTATCTGTCATGATGTTGCCTATTGGCCCAGTGGTAAGGATTTTTGTCTTTTTGAAGTTGAGATGTACTATATCTTGGAAACTGTAGTCTTTGCTCCTCTGCAACAGGTTTTTTAAATCTTCCTCACTTTTAGCAGGCGAGATTATATCCCTGAGAACACAGATTGTTGATGAATCTTCTTTCGATCCTGATGCTCAGATCTTGAACTCAGTCTAGTTTTAAATAATAAGCCACTTTTAGAAAATTTAACCTGTTGAGGATCAAGTGTGGCAGAAATGTGAAGGTTAGTACAGGATAGGACAGGGTTCAAATCTATTATTCATAAGATCTCTATGAGTTGGATTTGTCTCAGCATCTGACAACAAATTCAGTAGGCTGTGTCAATGAATAATAGTGTAATTGTAGCAGCTGTCTCTTCTACCACACTTTTTAATGGACCAGTCATTATTTTGAGTGCTTGATATATATTACCTCATTTGACCATGAGGCTGTTAAAAACTGTAATTATCCGCATTTTACATAAGAGTGACTTAAAGATTGGAGAGAATAAGTCATTTATTCTATTTACTGACATACTTGTGATTTGAACCTAGACAGTTTGGCTTGAGCATCTTTGTTTTTAACCATTACTCTGCAGCCTCAATTAGCATTAGACCTAATTTTTTTATTAGCATTTTTATTTAAATAACATGCACATTTAATTTTTCAGTTTGTCTCCCATTGTTGTAGTTCATCATGTCTTTCATGAATCTGGTCTTCTGTCTCTTACCCTTCAGATTCTACTCCTAACTGCTTTAAAGCCTCTTTTCTATCTAATAGTTGGGTTGATCTTTTAAAAGTATAATCAAATCACATCACTCTCATCCTCAAAATCCTCTACTGACTTCTCAGTTCTTTTAATAAATTACTACTTTTTTGAATAAAACGCAAAGGCTTATATTGACCTATATATCCCTTCATAATCTGATTTCTTGATTTTAACACACTTTCTCACTTGTACTACTGAGCTCTAGGAATACTCTGTTCCATATTGCTTCTTAATACTTTCTCTTTTCTCTGTATGTAACCCCTGAGTAACCTCATATATCCACTCTGGTTACGTCCTTGCTTCATTTAGGTCTGACTCAAAGTCCTTTCTTCAGACTGTCTTGACTTATCATCCAAATTACCAACACCCCATCAGATATACTCCATTACCTTGTATTTTATATAGCAGGATTATTTGTTTATGATCTTTCTTAAGATTGTGAACTACTGGGTGACAGAATTTTCCAGGTCTTGTGCACTCAATGCTTAGCACATAGTCAGTTCTTAATGTTTTGTTGAATAAATGAAATGAAGAATTTTTTCCATTAATGTCCTTAGCATACATAGGATTAATGAAAATGCGTTTGAAGTTCCCAGGACTGTCATTTTCTCTTCTGTAGAAATTATCACTATTAGGAAAACCAATATAAAATTTAAAAAAAGAATTGCAAGAAAAAAAGGAAAAGATATACAAAGGGGGAAAAAATGATCACTATTAAAATTCTTAAACTTTATGTAGTCTGTGTCATTCCCACTGCCAGTCCATATAACTAATAGGTTTCTAATAGTAACCAATCTGTTATTGTCATTTTAATTGTCAAGGAAAATTATTTATCTTGAAAGTAAAGTTTATTTTATTATCTATTTGAATTTTAGTATCCAGTGTCTCAGACCACCAGAAAGTTCCATTCTTAATTTTCTGTAGTCCAAGTAATAAAATTATAAAGTATAATAAAAGAAGTTAGAAATAATTAGTGTTGTTTGGAAAACTCTTTTTAGCTGGAATTTTGTTTCTCAATTTTTTTATTTTTATTATTATCCCTACTACCTTTAACTTGCAAAGACCATAGCCTGTATCAGGCCCTCCTTAGTCTCCAGAGAGTC